TCATCATGTCTTAACAGTTTTTCAATCAACCCAAGAGGAACCCAAATTCATTAGAGCCCTATTCATGTGAGAGGACCTTCCCTAAGGCTCAAGGACGAGCACACAATCAGCCATTAAAAAAAAAAAAAAAAAAACACTGTGGGGGAAACAAACAATCTGAAAATACAAAGTAGGGAAGACAAAGCATATGCCTCTTTTTGCCTGACCTCTACCTGATTTAGAGCTTACAGCTGCACAAAACAGAGGACAAATGCGCACAAGGCATAAATATATTACAGCGCTAGCCTCGGTGTGTCAAACTGACATGGTTAATGGCTGAAGCTCTTATATAGTGACACTACAATGTGCTTCTTCTGCAGTATGTCCCCTCTCAAGGGGTCTTTGCAGAAGCCTTCAAAGCCAAAGACCATTGCTATGTAGCCGAATCCATCCTCTACATAGGGAGTGGGATTAAAAATAGCCCTTCTTATTCACAAACAGAAATGCATCTGACTCTTTCTGCAACATCTGCAAAACTCTTAAAACTGTCTTTTTTGTATCTGCAGGCAGGCTGGAACCTTTCTTTAGTCTTGACATTCAGAAAATGATCGAGCCCGGCCGGTTCACCGAGGAGCAATTGTGAAGTGTAACTCTGAAATGGCACATTTCAGATGAGCCAAATGTTCTCCATAAGTTGAATGTCACTGAGTGTGATTTAGAGGGAGAGATTGGCTTACAGAGTTGGCAGGCGGACTCAGGTTGGCCTCCACGTAGGTCTCCGTCTTTGGTTCCACTGCCAGTTCGGCATCCAGAATCTTCTCCACGGGCATGTCCTCGTTGGCACAGCTGCCGAATTCAGCCTCGCTCCGCTCCTTCGCCCGCTGCCGCTCCTCCTGAACGGCTGCACATGTGCACATACAAAAATTAGAATGGCTTGCATGTGCGACATGTACGGTTACATACACAAACAAAACCGTGACCTTGCGCACAATAACACCCAGCTGCTTTTGGTTTGCTCGTAATCTACACATTTCCACAAAAACGGCTCGGGCCGTTTTTCATCGAGCTGCAAATGCATCCAGCCCATTATTCATCAGCTTCAGAGGCTAAAAGTTGAGGAGGTCATTCTACGTATGGAGTGACGTTATTAGTCATACATTCTACTTTTTAAAATATGTATATTTCATTTGGGTACTATCCAGTGCAAACATGATTCTGTACAGTCTATGGACAAATTCATGGGCCATAAAACCATCCTTCTAAAACTTTCGGTCAAACGATTAGTTATGCAGGTTGACAATGTATCGGTGTGTGTGTGTGCCACATTTGGGCGAGCATCTGCGTGTTGTGTACACAGCGCACACGTTTGTTTGGCCTGGTTTAGAGGGGGAGCCAGGTCTAAACCACACAGTCGGTCTACTGTGGTCTGGACCTGGTGGAAATGAGCCCCGTCTGCCTCGCCATCAGGCTGTGGAACATTTCAGCTTTCCCTTCTGTCTGTAAAAGCCCTGTTTTATGACTCTCTCTCTCTATTTCTCTCTGTTCGGCAGAAACCGCTAGCAGATCATGAGGGGAATTCTTGAGTAGGAGCAGCAGAGAGCCGTGGAGGTCAGCTGAAGGATAAAGCTTTTCTCCAGGAGTCACTGAGAGGTGAGGAGAGAGGCACAAGGAATTATTTTAGCTTTATTGTCCTCAGAAACAGAAAGACAGAGAGACTGGCTTGTGGGGGAGAAGTGTGTCAGGTTACCTCTCTCTCAGAGGCCTCAGTATAGGGGGTCCAGGCCTCACGTTCAAGGCCATTACCTAACGTTTTAGGATCAGGTTTATTCTTCATGACTTTTTCTACTCTTCTGAGAACAGATTATAAACAATATTGATAGCACAACATGACGACCCAGATAGCAAACTGACATTGAATCAACGTGGAAATATGACATCGAAACAACGTTGATCTGACATTGTTTTGCTCATCGAATTAACGTTGAACCAACGTCAGACGCGTCATTCTTTCAAAACTAACGGAAAATCAACTTGAAATCAACGCGTTGTTTCAACGTTATGAAAGCAAACCAATTTTCGATTTTCATTTAGCTTTGAAGAATGCCGCGTCTGACGTTGGTTCAACGTTAATTCGATGGGCAAAATCAACGTTGTTTCAATGTCATGAGAGACGTTGTTTCCACGTTGATTCAATGTCAGTTTGCTATCTGGGGAACTTAACACACTTCAACTTTCTTCCATTAAAAAAAATGCCACAATCCAATTTGTGTCTGATATAAAGCAATGGATAAATTCAATCAGTTTTCACATGCTAAACTTTACTTTGTATCACACTGTAATGATACTGTACACTGCTGGTTGTTTACTGTGATTTCTTTTTTCTACAGTGTGTTTTTGGTAGTGTCCTGGATAGAAGGAATGTTATTAGGATGCATATTAGTCATATTTCTGAAAAGTGCATCCCTGCTTTGTGATAAAACAAAAGGATAAAGCTTCAATTATATCTAGCTACTGGCCTTTAACTAGGTCAGAACAACATGTTAAAAATAGTTTAAAGGAACAATAAGAGGTTCATTTTAAAATCAGTCGTTTGACATTTATTATTACTATTTTCATACACGCATCCTTGATTAGGACCCTGGATTAATAAATAAATAGCATACTTCTCAACTATTGAAATGTTATCATACTGGACATGTAATATTCTGAATGCACTCTAAATAAATTACATGTAAGCCTACATTCTTTTCCCACTATTCTCTAGTGGAAATGCTGGGAAAACAATCTCTAGCCATTTAATTCAATTCCTTTTAGATGATTCTAGACTTAAACTGCATAATTTAATCAACACATTAATGAATCTCATTCATTTCCTTGACAGCAGCATACAGTGCAATGAACTGCAAATTGTTGGTCATTAGTGCTTTCAACCACCATGTGTTGATAGTTTATTTATCTTAAGTCTGTAAAATGATCTCCTCCAAAAATGTGTTCCATTGATATTTTGACTTTTCAAAAACTTACTCTGTCTCATGTCTCATTTGGACATAAAAAATGGAACATTATATTTTAAGAAGCTGGAATATTTGGTCTGTTCGACCAGGTTAAAGGGATAGTCCACCCCAAAATAAAAATTATCCCATAATAAATAACTCCAACTGTGTTCGGCTGAAAGAAGAAACTTATATAAAGGATGGCTTTAGGATAAGTAAAATATGGGATAATTACATTTTTTGGGTGAAACATTCCTCCTTTAATGAGTATATGTCCCCATCCATAGTCCGAATATGACTAAATTCTGATATAATTAAGAATTGTCATGTGTTCAAAGAAAAAAGCAACGCACCTTCTCTCTTCATTCCCATGGCTAAGCACTTCTGATAGCGGCAGTATTGGCAGCGGTTGCGTTGCCGTTTGTCGATTAAACAGTCCTTGTTGTCTCGGCAAGTGTACGTCAAATCCTTTCTCACCGTTCTCTTGAAGAAGCCCTTACAGCCCTCACAGCTGTACACCCCGTAGTGTTTACCTGCCGGCAGACATATGCTTTAGTAGGGTTCCCAGCAGGGTTATCTTTAATTGGCATTTGATTTCAATAATTCAATAGCCACATCTGTTTTGTCACACATTACTCTGAAAGACAGATTATAGAGTGACCAATATTATGACTGCAGTTTAACAAGTACAATAAAGCATATTATTAAACAGCTCTTTTCAGCCACTGCATTCTTTTCCTCCAGATTGTCTTCTTTGTTTATTATGTTCTACTCTAACAGTATGAATACTGTGGATTTGAGGCCTGTTCACCCACAATAATTGACGATATATCCCATTAATTATTCACTGGAATATTTGATATATTACTAAAGAGATATTTAATACGTCCGTTATATAACTGCGGAAATAATCGTGGTTATTCATGGTCTGTGGTAGTAATTTGTTAATGATTTTACACTTTTAAATGTCCTTTTAATGTTCGATGATTGAAGGGTGAATAGAATAATGTTCTCATAATGTAACCAGATTTTGAAAATGTTTATTTTTGTGTTCATAGAGTGAACCTATCACCTATTGCTGATAGATTATTATGCTGGTTTAGCTATTTTGTTCTTCTATAATGCAGTGCATGAATAAATTTTTTTTAAAAAAATCATCTAGGTGTGTGTGTACGTGTGTGTGTCACCTGATGAACGGTCTCCGCAAATGGCACAGATGTGTTTTGTGAGGGAGAGGGATGTGCCTGTGGGCTGTGCCGGGACCTTCATCATCCCGTTCAGACCCAGAGGGGGTTTAATGTCCTCCGAACTACTGACTGCATTCATGGGCGAACTGAGCTTAAAAAAAAAGATTAAAAAACAAGATATTAGATATCAAATTATTCCAAGCTGATAACTGAATCAACACACTGAAGCCACCAAAGGAAATTATCTGATCAAAAAAATACAGTAAAAACTGTAATATTGACAAATTTCCTATTTTTATGTTTAATATTCATGATACATTTCAGGATTATTCTGATAAATAGAAAGTACAAAAGACCAGAATTTAGTTGAAATATAAATCATTTGTAACATTATAAATGTATTTTTCTCCCTCACTTGTTGATCACATTGCATCTTTGCTGAATAAAAGTATTTATTTCATTTAGAATTAAACTTGAATTTCTTACACACCACTAACTTTTAAATGGTAGAGCAAAATTCCACATAAAAAAGTGTCTGTTGGAATGGAATCAATTACATGTGAAATTTATTCTTAACTGCCCAGAACAAAAGTCATGAAAAATGTGATGATTGATGAGCCGACCTGTGAAAGACACAACAGACACACCTCCAGGAAACATTACCACGAAAGAATGTTCACTATGTTTTTCTTTGGTAATTCGTGAGGGACTGATACATGAAACTATACAGCTTCCTGAAGAGAGGAAAACATTAAAGTCATTCACCAATGAAAGTTCTAAACCCTTCCTAACAAAAAAAAAAAAAAAAAAAAAAGAAGCAAAGTCTGATATACGAGTCAAGTATTCAAATATCCAATAGTGTTGAAATGTCAAAATATTTTGAGGCAGACAGCAGACTATTGTGTTCATTTAACAAAAACCCTCTCCTGGCATTTCCACACCTTAAATTGTGTCAGCATTTTTTAGTTTGCCCTATCAAAGACGCAGTCTGACTCATGACAAATGTTTCTGGTTTACAACACATCCCCACAACTGAGGTCAGGACTAGCAGATATTACATATTGTCCTGCATACAGACTCTCCAGGACACACCAGCCCATTTTTGAGCGTTGGCCGGCTTTAAAGGGTCTACTGACATCATAGTTAGCATTGCACAATGGCATGCTTTAACATGGAGATTTCAATCCTGATTTATTACTTCTACAGGTATGGAAAACATATAAATGTGACCTAAATTTGTTTAATAAGATCCTAACAGCTTACCTCTTGAGTAAAGAAATACAACAAATCTAAATGCAAATCCAGCCCAATGTACATGTAAAACTGTGCCATGTGCATACATACTGAAAACAAAAGAACTTCCAACGTGATTGTGATAGTAAAGGAGTGGCAGTAACCCAGATATACACCACTAAGCACACAAAAATAGTACTACCTGCTGCCTGCTTCTATGCTGATGCATGCATGGCTCTTTTAACAGTCAAATCCCCCCCCCCCCCCACCCCCCATTTGAGGTGGCACCAGTGATGGTCCTGGCTCACATGGTGAATAGAAAGAAACGAGCGAGAAATGAGAAGAAAAACGAGAAAAGAAACAGGAAACGAGAAGAGAAATGAGAAATGAAACGAGAAAAGAAACTAAGAAACGAGAAAAAAATTGATTAAACAAGAAAAGAAAGGAAAAGAAAAGAAAAGAAAGAGGAAAGAAAAAGAAATGAGAAAAAAGAGAAAAGAAGCATGAAAAGAAGCAAAAAATAACGAGAAAAGAAGAGAACAAAAACGAGAAAAGAAACAAGAAGAGAACAGAAACGAGAAAAGAAACAAAAGAATCAAGAGGGAAAAAAGAAATGAGAAGAAACAAGATTAAATTTAGGTTAATATTTCTTAGAGAACTGAACCTCGTGGAAAAGAATATTTGACATCTTGATAGCTCTTTTTTGAGTTATGTAAAAATGTGGGCACGATGATCCTTCAGGTAGAAATAATTGGGAAGCATCAAGACTTTCCATAAAGTAAAACATTCTCTTATAATCCCACGGAAAGAGTGAATGACAGGCATTTTTATAACCCAGAGAACAGTCTATGACAACCAAATTAAAACGAGTAGCATGTCCAGAGAGATGGAGACAGACATAATGAACAGGGAGAAAATAAATATTATTATCGTGTCATACACTGTTGGTAGAGCCCACAGCTATTAGAAGACACATCACATGTGCCATGTGACCATCTCATGCTGTTGCTTGTAGAGCTTTTAGAATGATTAAAGAGTTACAGTAGTTCACCCCAAAATGAAAATGATGTCATTAATGACTCACCCTCGTGTCATTCCAAGCCTGTTAAACCTCTGTTCATCTTCGGAATACAGTTTAAGATATTTTAGATTTAGTCCGAGAGTTTTCTGTCCCTCCTTTGAAAATGTATGTACGGTATACTGTCCTTGTCCAGAAAGGAAATAAAGACATCATAAAAGTATTCCATGTGAAATCAGTGGGTTAGTTAGAATGTTTTGAAGCATCGAAAATACATTTTGATCCAAAAATAACAAAAACTATGACTTTATTAAACATTGTTTTGTCTTCCGTTTCTGTCCGCAGTGACGCTGGTGATGCTGGTAAGATGCTGCTATTGTGTTCTCTGGTAACCAGTAACCAAAGAACACATCAGCAGTGTCTTGCATCACCAGCGTCATTGCAGACTCGTGAACACAGAACCAGAAGAGAATACAATGATGAATAAAGTCGTAATTTTTGTTATTTTTGGACCAAATGTATTTCCGATGTTTCAAAAGGACAGTATGGGTACATGCATTTTCAGTGGGGACAGAAAACTCTCGGACTAAATCTAAAATATCTTAAACTGTGGAAAGAACTTACTGTACGAAGATGAACGGGAGGTCTTACTGGCTTGGAACGACATGAGGGTGAGTCATTAATGACATAATTTTCATTTTTTGGGTGAACTAACCCTTTAAATCTGTCCACAAACTTGTGTTGCTGCATTGCACAGTAATGAGAGGCAGCACACATCAATCACTGACCTCAAACATGCCCAAAATATCATCTGTGCTCTGAATTATGCTATAAACCTTTTTCTGTATGATGCATAAACATTTATATTGAGAAATGATGGGGGATTTACCACAAATGCATTGGATCCTAAAAACTATAATGAAACTCTGTTTAATCATCTGTTAAATGCTATGTGGTTGCTAGGGTATTCTGGGTGGTTGCTAAGTTGTTCTTGCTGGCCCAAGACAAGAAGATATATTTAAAACTAATAATAATTTACAGTAATACTGTTTTTGTCTTTGATGAACATAAGAATTTTCTTACAAAACCTTTAAAATTCTTTAAAAATCCCAAACTTTTCAACATTAGTGTACATGCACAAATGTAGAAATGTGTATCTGTCTTTGTGTATAAGGAGATTAAACTGGCAGGGTGTTAAAAGAGTTTCATTCTGACACACACCACATGGCTAAACTGCAGATTTTAACAAGCCAGCTCATTTCCTGTGCGATTGGGCCCTTACCAGGCCCCAACCAGGCCTCTTCTGAACCCATTTAGCGTTCCAATAAAAAGTAGAAAGCCCATGTGGCACACTAAGGCCGTGTTTGACACCATGCGGTCAGAGATCAAGCACTCTGACGGGGCTAATGAGGATGAATGGGGGCCAGGGCACCTCCAAGACGCCTCTCCTTAAGCCCAACTGCCATTACTTAAGGCAACACCATTAATGTGAAACGCCCCCATTCCATTTAGCAGCCAAATTAAAGCTGTCTGACATGAGGTGGTGAAAAAAATAATAAAAAATAATACGATTTCTATGCCAACGTAAAGTTGTTTTTAATAGGTTTCCATTTCGGGGTACAACAGTAATGACTGAACACTTTACTATTGGTAGTGGAAAGGAGGTGATATAAGGGGGAAATAAATGATCAGACAAAACCCTTTAAAATAACGTGTCCCTAACGAGTATAGTGTGTGGTTAATCTTAAATTGTATTGCAGAGATTTCTGTTCTCATATACCATCTGGTGTCTGATAACACCCCACGGTCTTCAAATGAATTTATAAAAGGCTGTTATTTGATATGACTAGTTACACTAAATGGCTTTACTGATTCTCAGATGACTCTGGCAGGCACTCAATGATCTCACTGTGCCAAAGTCTGACTTAAATCCATCTTACTTATCTCTACAGTTTTAAAGTTTTACATTAATGATTTGTAATTCAAACACACTCATACAGAAAGGTTCTACAAAGTCCAGTGTAATAATAATAATAATAAAAAAAATCAGCTGGGATCAAAACATTTGTTCAGTCAATTATATTATGTTGCTCTATATGCCCTTGTGTTCTTCCTTTTACACAGACACAATATTTTAAATCAAATGACAATTGGCTACAATGAAAAGCATTTAATGTATCCTGTATTTTACTTAAAGAATAACAAATAATTGTTGAAATTTTAAATCAAACCTCAGTATTATTTACAGTAGTACTGTAAATAGTCTGTCAGACAACAAAACATGTCAACACACTAACACTATACAGTACATGTTACACGAAGAAGATGATAAGGGAGAGTTCAAAAAGGTTTCAATAAACAAAACGGTATTTTAATGAAAACAAACTCAGATAATCTATGAAGAGGAAGGCAACATAAGACCGTGTGTAACACGCACACAAACAATACCTGACAAACACAGAATGAAGTTGAGAAACTTAAATAGACAGTGATAATGTGGAGATGACGAACAGGTGTGATGGGAACAGAGTGTCCATGGGAACTGATGACTGGTGGGAAACTCAAACAAAGGAACATGATTGAAAACAAAACTTAAAGTCCATGAAAGGAAAACTAAAGATAAATGAGTCCAGATAACTGTGACAGAACTCCCCCTCCCAGTAGGCACGACAATCAAGGGCGTCTGACGGCACAGACTCTGAGCCCAGCCAATGTGGCATGGAGGCTGACACCAACTGGGGGATGGCCAATGGATCCCAGGCACAAACGGAGAGGAGCTTAGGATGCCACTGCAACGATCGTCGGAGGAGGACTGCCCAAGGGCTGAGGAGATGCAGGTGTGATGGAGGGCCGAGGCGTACCCGAAGGAAAAGAGGAGCCCTTTGCAGCCGTAGGAGTGG